AATACCAAGCCCAAACCCATCAAGTTACCCAAACTGTCTTTTAATTGTCCATTGGGGAAGATGGCAAGCTAACCTACCCTGTCTCAAACACCATGCTTCCAATTGCTAGCCAGGAGAAAACAAAAGTGTGTGTGGATGGGGGGATCAGTAAAAGAAAGGAAGAGAATAAGGGGCTGACAAACTCTAAACAGAATGTCTGTTACTATCTACAGTGGGGGATCCATAATGGTATGGGCAACCATTTTCTGAGAATTATTAGGTCTAATGCTGGACATATAACAGATTTTATAGGATGGGTGTTCAGAATGGAATCATGTGACGTTTAAAACATACAGCACTATGTGGAGTGATGCTGAATAGTATAAGGGTTTTGGCAAGTTATCATTTTAGTGCATTAATGCTCCAGTTATTGCCAAGAACTGTAAAACATAAATGAACAGAACTAAAGGTGTGTGTGGGGAGGTGGAATGTGAGCTAATGGTGGAGTAGAGGGTGGAGAACACAGCAGCGTCTTATTTTTTGAAAGACACAGCATAGACACAATGGGGTTGCTTTACTAAAGAAAAAGAGCAAGTTCACTTTGCAGGGGAGTTTTTTTGTTAGCTTCTTGACCTCTGGTTCACATATCCGCGTTCCTGCGGTCTGTGTTTTGCGCGGACACGAGAGCCCATTCATTTGAATGGATCCCCATGCCCCGGGACACGCAGGGAAGAAGTCCCTGCACTTCTTCTAAAAACGCAGCCCACACAGGAACCTCGGTTCTCAGTACAGTTGCGATTTCCAGTGCAGGTGGTGTGCCATTAGAATGAATGGCACCCGCCCGCGGCTCCGCATTCCTCTGTGCAGGTGGTGCGGCTTCACAGATTTTTGTGCGGATCCGCAGCGGCACCACCCACACATATGTGAACCTAGCCTGAATGTGGTGAAGATGTGCTGACTTCAATTACCCAATATTAGGTAAGCAAAATTCCTGTTTTTTTAATTGTTCAAGAATGGGTATTCTTTGTAAAGTGAATTTTTACCATTCCACTGAAATTCCCTGTAAGGGCTCGTTCAGAGACTTCAGTGTTTCTGCATGCGTTCTGCAAGGGCAACAAAATCAGTTGTTTTTTATGTGCCCTGTTCACACCACAGCACTGGTATCACGTGCAGATTTTTTCTATGCAGGAATCTGCGATGTGTATAAAACTCATTGAAGCACTCATGAAAACTGATGTAAATGGATCTCTCTGCAAGTGAAATCTGTGCGTCAGTTTCCATCAGTCTTTCTGCATGTATGGTGTGAACGAAGCCTAAAAGTGAAAAGTCCCTTGCAAATGAACCATGTGGTACTCTTTTTGTAAATCAACCCTATAAGATCGGGGGTAGGAATAAAAGAGGGATGGGAGGTGAAAGTGGGCAAACCAGAGAGAGGGGATCACACACTTCCTGAGCAGCTCTGGTGGTTGGGACAGGGTGAGTGTCAAACCTTTGGAGACCTGGATCACTACTTGTGTGTGAGCAGCGGTCTGACTCTCTAGCATGCTGCCAGCACAGGGGATTTGAACTCTCAGTGCAGAATTTAGTATGTAACAGAAACCAGAAAGAAGAGCATATGTGTTACTGTATATACAGCCTGCTGCGTTAAAATAATAAATTCTGAAGCTATAGATGGGCTTCAAAGAAACTGAATAAAGCCATGCAGCACTGTGGGGGTTAAAAAAGCAGATAGATGGTTGTGCAGCCTGAATGAAAAAGGGCACCTGCTGCTGAGTAGCATTACAAGTGTGACTCGCTATATAGGTGATAGTCACAGTTTCTGAAGCAGGAAGCACAGGAAGTGCATGTTGACCTGTAGGCTTTGCATATGTTACAGCCTCCAGCGCTTTGCTGAAAGACTTTTCCTGTTATTGAAATACCAAGAACTCTGTTAGCAATTAATCACTATGTGATTTCCAGAGCTTGTCCTCCTCCGGTTCTGCTCCCTTCCTTGAATTTCCATGAATTACAAGTGTGCTTCCGCCACTTGGAGAGACCGCTGTAGCCGAGCTACAGTCCCTTCCCAGATCTACAAATGTAGTCCATCGCATGCTGTCAGTTTTCTAGTGAGCACAGATCGTAGCTATATAGTTATTAGTCTGCAGCTGGGGTTTTTTTCACCCCTATTAAGTATTCCTTCCAATGTCAGCAAATGAACTGGATTGAATGTATGTATAAGTGACATGGTTGGTCATCAAGGAGTTTTTCCCACCCTGCCATGGAGTCTCACTTCTCTTGCTGTAGTAATAGTAGCCTTACTAGTCCCACTGCATTCTCAGTTATAAAAAATAGAAGAAAATAACAACAGGAGACAACTTCATAACGGTCACAAGAGGCAAGTGCACATGTAAACTCACATTGTATTTGTGACTTGCGTATTCATGACAGGACTTGATATGGCTGCATGGTATCAATGTTCACTGAAGTTCATCTTCCTTGTTACAGGACAGAAGAAACAGATGGAGACATGCAGTCACCAGTTCAATCAGACCCCATATCACAGACTCTCAGTGGTAGCAGCACTGACACCATCATCCAAGGTCAGTTAACTTGTGTACTCACTAAATGTACTGAACAAGTGTGTAGATTTTGTTGGCATGTTTGCTGCCATTTTATCTTTAGTGTCTCTTCAATCTTGGAAATATTCTGCTTACTTAAACTGTGGACTCCTTTTCTCCTAATGCAAGTGATTTTACTCGTAGCTGTGTATTTTCTCTCTCGTTCTGTCCTGGTGACAATGTCAGCAGGACAGATTGTGTGGGGGTAACCTTCCCAACACAGCCTTGGACAGCAATGAAAACCTGACAGGGGGTTTTATCCCCTCCCCATTCTATAAAAAACCTGTCTGGAGATGCATTTTTATGTTCTGCATGAGACAGAAAAAATTGAGTTCTGTCCGTGATACTTTTTTTATTTGTACTAACATACAGTTTTTAGGACAACGTTTTGGGCTATGCCCCCTTCTTCAAGATTCAAGCAGTACTAATGCACAAAGTTTTAGTAGAGTTAAGCTCCATTCACATTTTTTCAAGTTGTCATGCGGCTTTGGACATCAGAGTCACATGACATGTCACAGCCCATTCTTTTCAATGGCACCTGTTCAAAGTGGTGCGACTTTGAAAAGGTGCCTGCACTACTTTGGTGCAACTTAGATCCATAGAGTGTAAAGTCAGATCAAAGTCACCTCTCTAAGAGGAAAAAAAATACATTCTGTATGAGGAGATGTTATGATATGTTGTGTCTTTTAACCTTGTCTTCCACTATTTTATCCTCTGTGTATGGTACCAGAAAAATTGCAGAGCTGAACTATTTGGCTGGGTCCAATAAAGAAAGTAATATAAACAGAAAACCTAGCCTCGCAAGGCTCCGTTCACACTGTTGTGCTGTGGTATGAACGGAGCCTTGGGAGGCTAGGTTTGAGTTAGTTTGATGCGTTGCCATTCATTTTGAATTCCATGTCCTCAACACTGTTGCGTTGTAGTGCAGCACAGTGCACTAATGTGCATTGCCCTGCTTTACCAAAAGTGCTGTGTGCATTAGGAAGTCCATTCAAATAAATGGTCTGCTTTAAAGTGATGCTAATTTCTAAATGTTTTTTTTACCTCAATGCATTCTCTGTATTAAGATAAAAAAACTCCTCACGACCTGCCCCCCATCCCTAAACACTAACTTACCTTTTCTCACTGATCCAGTGATGTCCCAACTGCAGCATCGCTCCTCCACTGCTCCTCCTCTCCGTGGTCTCACAGGACACACAGGCAGCAATGGAAGCCTTAGGCTAATGCTGATGTCAGTCAAATTCCTGTGAGGAAGGATAAGGGGTGTGGCTTACCAGCACTGTGCGTGTCTATGGACACACACACACACAGCCTGGATTGGGAACGCATCTGCACGAGTTCTCCCTTAGCACTGCGTTTGCTGAGGGGGCACTCAGAGGAAGAAAGATTAGACAGCACTGGTGGGGGACTGCCACAAAGGAGGTAAAAGACCACTCTCTGCAATATCATTGCACAAAGCAAGTAAATATAACTTTTATTTTCTAAAAAGCCTCTGATATCACTTTAAAGCTACACACATTATACAGTTGTAGAGCCATACACCGTTAGTCTATTCCTGTTCAGTCTGTGAGCTGAACGAAAAAAACTTACAGGCTCTGTCCACACAAACAAGATGGATGGTGAATTCCCCTTGCCAGGACATTATATTCTGATAGTGACTGCTTGATGGAAAATTTTCCAACATGTCCCTTTGCCTTCCAGTGAGCAAAGCCTACATTTGTACAAATTTCAATCAGCTTATGGTCATCTTTAGTGATCATTGCTAGGCTGCATCTTAAAATGCTACTTTCCTGGCTGATGCTCTGACTTCAGAACGTTGTAAATCTTTGACCAGAATATGCAAAATGTTGCAGTACTTTGGAACAACATTAGTCAAGTCACTGAATGTACTGAGAATTTTTGTACAAACGTTCTTTCAAAAATCTACTAGTGTATGGCCAGCTTTACAAATTTCTAAGCTCAGATGTTAAATATGACAGCCAGGCAAACATGTAATAATGACAATTTACGTATTTCTGTCATGTTTCATTGTGTTCAACATATTTCCTAAGATCATATATAAAAAAAATAAAGCCTAGCAATTTTTTGGCTCATCCTCCCCTTAAGCAGAGATCACATAACCAAATGGCCATTTGTTTGGTCACATTTCAGTAGCTGCAGCGTGTTCCAGCACCTCCATGGAGAAAGCAAAGTTGTAAAAATAAAAAAAAAACTGCAAATAAAATATGGGCATATTTTACAATGTTATGCATATAAACCTTGTGTCACTGAATTGTATAACTAGTTGATTTTATATGATCCTTAGGAGCTGCTGTCTTTGTGCCTTCAGATCAGTGTTGTCATAAAACTGACCATTTCTTGGCTTCCTATCCATGGTTTCATGGGCCCATCTCTCGAGTCAAAGCAGCTCAGCTTGTTCAAGCTCAGGGATATGAAGGTCATGGGGTTTTCCTCCTACGGCAAAGTGAAACGCGAAGGGGTGAATATGTCCTCACATTTAATTTTCAAGGCAGAGCAAAGGTAACGTGGCAGATTTTTTGAATAGTCTCTTTAAGTTTGGCCTTCTTTATAATTATAAGTGGAACAATAAACTAGTCTCGAAGCACAGATCATTATAACAAGATTTATTCAGGCCATTAGACTTTAGCCCAGATTTGGTACAGGGATACATGGGATCAAGGCCATCGATAAGGGGGTACCACCAGTCCTCTTGTACAGGGCCCAGGCCAGCAGAGGGGCCCAGGCAGCTGGGTGAATCGGCACAGCATGGGGCGCAAATACTGGAACCAATCCTGTGTATGGCTCTCTCTGCAACAGCTGAAATCTGGCTTCTTCTCCGCTCCCTCCCCCGCTGGCTTTCACCTGCTACAGAGAGCCATACAGGGGATCGGTTCCAGTAATTGCCCTAAATCCCCTCCCGACCGCACCCTTCACACTCCGCCCCCCTGTGTGCATCCACCCCTGTAGTACAGTTGGCTTCCCTCCTCTCCTTTCCATTGGTAGCTGTAAGCACAGCCCCTTCCTTTCCTGAATGAACACAATGAGTGGTTGGTACTGATCACTTACTGTGTTTATTCGTAACTGAAGCAAAGTAAAGTGTGTTTTTTTTTGAAGGGGTGGCCTCTCAGGTTGGCTGTATGAGGCCCCGTGATTTCTAACAGCAGCCCTGCATGGGATACATCATGTGACCTGAGGTTTTTCTTTATATATAAAAATATTTAAATAGCATGGTCATTTGGGGCTACTTATTTCATAATTTCAGTTCCATTTTCACTTTAAGTAAAAGACATAGTATGAAGTGTTTCACCTGTAATGATCTGTATTGATGCAGCAGCAGAGAGTGAAAAGTGGGAAACTGTGCATTGTACATTGCTGTAAGTCTAAGGGCCTATTCACAACTTTCCAGTGCAGTGCAACATGGTAACGTGCATTACTGAAACGCACGTTATGTGTGTTGGAATGTTGCAGCCCAGCATAAATAAGGCAACACAGCTCCAATTCACATGCATTGTAGTACACCACAGTGTTACCATGCACTGTAGTGTGCTGTGTTGCCAAAGTGAATGCATGAAGAAATGGGGGTTAATGCATGTGCGTTAACACAATACACTCAGAGGCTGAAGGAGACCTAACATGTTTTAAGACACTGGATGACAGAAAAGGTGTTTAGGCAGCTTACAAGAGTAGGGGTGAACAGGAAAAAACTTAGCATGAGATAATTCCAATATGAGATAATTCCCATGCTGGCCATAAAAATGGATCTAAAGTTGTCCAGTTCCACAGAGGCTAACTGAATTTTAATCCATGTCATGCCATCCCTGTTCAAAAGAATGTGCCCACGGTGGCCTGAGGTTGTGTGTGGAGAGTATGCCCACTGTGTCTTACAGCACACTGGCACCGACAAGCTCTTAGTTGCGGTTTCTGTTTGGGACCCAGGGGGATGGGCTCCCATTTATGTGATAGCTGTGAGAGCCAATCACAACTCTCACATGATAGATAAGCATCACAGCCTCCCTGCCATTAAAACCCACATAATAGGATGTTGGGAAGCCGTTAAAAAAGTTAAAACCCTTCCTGTGTCACATTGAGGAGATTTCTCATCACGTCTCATTTCTGAGACACAAAAGGAAATGAGAGAAAATCTCTACAAAGTGAGGAGACTGTTGTAAACCACATAGTTGTCCACTTTGGAAGGATTATCCTCCCCTCTACAACTTGGATTTCACATCGCTTTCTATCTCAGTGACAGTGGTCACCAACAAAGAGGATGTAAATGCCTAGTAGGGACACAGACGACAATAAAAAAAACTTAACATGAGTTCTAATCCTTCCCTACTCTACCCAAAACTAAAACAAAAAAGTTTAGGCTATACTTACACTTGCATTTGATAACTTTGCAGCATGCAGTAAATGACGTACCGTGCATGCTCAGTGTGAATGTAAAGCTTGTGATAGGTCGATAGTAAATGACAGTTGTACCTTCTTCTTTTCAGCACTTACGCCTCACGCTAACTGAAAGAGGTCAGTGTCGGGTCCAGCACCTACGCTTCCTGTCTGTCATAGAAATGCTTCACTATTTCCGCCTTCATCCAATTCCACTTGAATGTGGAGCCGCTGGAGATGTGAAGTTGTCTGGTTTTGTGGTGTCCTCTGCACATTCACAAGGTAAAAAGTGCATCTTTGTTGTTGAAGCTAGATTGTTTACCCAACACATTATGTACAGTACATGCTGTTCACATGACTCCAGCTATTCCACAGTCAGTATAATGGTCACATTGTTTCCACATGTCTCTACCAACAAGTTTTTCTCTTTTCTGGCTGCTTAACAGATAGGGATGATTTATACACCTCATTAAGGTGGAGAGGGACCTATGTGCTGTTCTTTCTTATTCAGAATATGAATGCCAAGGGGATGCATCCATTTACAGTATCTCAGAGAAGTGAGTACACCCCTCACATTTTTGTAAATATTTTATTATATCTTTTCATGTGACAACACTGAAGAAATGACACTTTGCTACATTGTAAAATAGTGAGTGTACACCGCTGGCAACAAAAGTGAGTACACCCCTAAGTGAAAATGTCCAAATTTGGCCCAATTACACATTTTCCTTCCCCGGTGTCATGTGACTCCTTAGTGTTACAAGGTCTCAGGTATGAATGGGGAGCAGGTGTGTTAAATTTGATGTTATCGCTCTCACTCTCTCATACTGGTCACTGGAAGTTCAACATGGCACCTCATGGCAAAAAACTCTGAGGATCTGAAAAAAATGTTGCTCTACATAAAGATGGCCTAGGCTACAAGAAGATTGTCAAGACCCTGAAACTGAGCTGCAGCACAGTGGCCAAGACCATACAGCAGTTTAACAGGACAGGTTCCACTCAGAACAGGCCTTGCCATGGTCGACCAAAGGAGTTGAGTGCACGTGCTCAGTGTCATAGCCAGAGGTTGTCTTTGGGAAATAGACGTGTGAATGCTGCCAGCATTGCTGCAGAGGTTGAAGGGGTGGGGGGGTCAGCCTCAGAACATACGCCACACACTGCATCAAATTGGTCTACATGGCTGTCGTCCCAGGAGGAAGCCTCTTCTAAAGATGATACACAAGAAAGTCCACAAACAGTTTGCTGAAGACAAGCAGACTAAGGACATGGATTACTGGAACCATGTCCTGTGGTCTGATGTGACCAAGATCAGCTTATTTGGTTCAGATGGTGTCAAGCGTGTGTGGCGGCAACCAGGTGAAGAATGGAAAGACAAGTGTGTCTTGCCTACAGTCAAGCATGGTGGTGGGAGTGTCATGGTCTGGGGCTGCATGAGTGCTGCTGGCACAGGGGAGCTACAATTCATTGAGGGAACCATGAATGCCAACATGTAGTGTGACATATTGAAGCAGAGCATGATCCCCTCCCTTTGGAAACTGGGCCGCAGGGCAGTATTCCAACATGATAACGACCCCAAACACACCTTCAAGACGACCACTGCCTTGCTAAAGAAGCTGAGGGTAAAGGTGGTGGACTGGCCAAGCATGTCTCCAGACCTAAACCCTATTGAACATCTGTGGGGCATCCTCAAATGAAAGTGGAAGAGCACAAGGTCTTTAACATCCACCAGCTCTGTGATGTCATCATGGAGGAGTGGAAGAGGACTCCAGTGGCAACCTGTGAAGCTCTGGTGAACTCCATGCCCAAGAGGGCTAAGGCAGTGCTGGAAAATAATGGTGGCCATACAAAATATTGACACTTTGGGCCCAATTTGGACATTTTCACTTAGGGGTGTACTCACTTTTGTTGCCAGCAGTTTAGACATTAATGGTTGTGTGTTGCGTTATTTTGCGGGGGACAGCAAATTGTTATACAAACTGTACACTCACTACTTGAAATTGTATCAAAGTATCATTTCTTCAGTGTTGTCACATGAAAAAGGTAGAAGACAATATTTACAAAAATGTGAGGGGTGTACTCACTTCTGTGAGATACTGTACATTTATTTGTCATTAAAGTGGAACTTTAGTCTTTAGTTCCTGCTAGATCATTTCAGGCTGGCCCCTTTTGCAGGAATACTATGTAAAACATTAAAGTGCGTAAACTGTTTAAAATCCAGTGATACACTGCCTCACCCTGCTCTGTACATGCTCAGTTGCTCTCTATATAGGCACTGCCGGATTTCTAGAGGCCTATCTGCTGAGAACTTAAAGATTTACTGCTGATCAGGGTCTCTGGGCTTCAGCAAAATGGCAGCCTCCAGCAAGAAGAAACAGGAGCAATGCTGGAGGCAATTTACAGCACACATGAATTTTGGTAGCAGACAGTGTGCTCAACACTTTACAATATAAAGAGAGGCAATACATCAATGATACAGTTCAATACAAGAGGGTTAGGAGGGCCCTGCTCCTTGGAGCTTACAATCTAAGAGGGAGGGGCTGGTGGTACAAAAGGTAATAACTGTGGGGGATGGACTGATAGGAGGAATAGAAGATTCCGTTATTAGCTGAAGGCAGGATAGGCTTTCCTGAAGAGAGAGGTTTTCAGAGATCACCTAAAAGTGGCCAGAGTAGGCGATAGTCGGATAGATTGGGGTAGAGAGTTCCCGAGGACGGGGGAGGCTCTGGAGAAGTCCTGGAGATGAGCATGAGAGGAGGAGACAAGAGGGCTAGAGAGCAGGAGGTCGTGGGAGGAGCGGAGAGGACAGTTTGGATGATATTTGGAGACAAGATTGGTGATGTAATTTGTGGCAGAGTTATAAATGGCTTTATATGTTATTCTTAATGTTTTGAATTTTATTCGTTGGGCAATGGGAAGCCAGTGGAGGGATTGGGAGAGAGAGATGGCAGATATGGAACGGTTAGTAAGGTGGATGAATCTGGCAGCAGCATTCATGATAGACTGAAGAGGTGATAGCCTGCGATGAGGTAGGCCAATGAGGAGGGAGTTACAATAGTCAAGGCGAGATATAACAAGGGAGTGAATAGGTTGCTTAGTAGTTTCAGAGGTTAAGAACGGCCGTATCTTGGAGATGTTGCAGAGGTAAAGTCTACAAGATTTGGATAGTGATTCCATTTGGGGCTGAAAGGACAGATGGGAGTCTAGGATTACACCTAGTACCCTGGCATGAGGGGAGGGACTGATGGTTGTGTTATTGATCTTGATGGAGAAGTCAGGGGAGGGGGCACGGGCTGGAGGGAATAGTGTGAGATCTGTTTTGGAAAGATTTCATTTGAGGAAGTGGAGTGACATCCATGCCGATATGTCGCTTAGTAGGTTAGTAATGCGAGAGGAGATTGAAGGGGCGAGGTGAGGAGTAGAAAGATAAATTTGTGTGCCATCAGCATAGAGATGGTACTTAAAGCCATGGGAGTTTATCAAGTGACCAAAGGAGGTGGTGTAGATGGAGAAGAGAAGGGGTCCAAGGACAGAACTTTGAGGGACCCCTACAGAAAGAGGAAGTGGAGAGGAGGAGACAGAGTTATAGGAAACACTGAAGGAGCGCTGCGATAGGTAGGAGAACCAGGAGAGAGCAGAGTCTTGGAGGCCAAGAGAGTGGAGTTTTTTGAGGAGGAGGGGATGGTCAACAGTATTTTTGAGGAGGAGGGGATGGTCAACAGTATTAAAAGCCACAGAGAGGTCAAGTAGTAATAGTATGGAGTAGTGGCTATTGGTTTTAGCAGTTAGTAAATCATTAGTGGGTTCTAGTAGGGCAGTTCCAGTGGAGTGGAGTGAGCGAAAGCCAGACTGTTGTTATGGGTAAAGTTCCACTTTAGAGGACCTTGCTACTTTATATTTAGATTTTTCCCATCCATCTTTAACTCCCTAAATAATTAACATATAAAAGTTCCTAATGTTACAAGACACTTTTTTATGTACAAACTAGCCCTCCCAGGTAAGGAGATTTCAAGAGACTAGTAAGTGAAACCAACACTTGTCTAATTAGATATGCAGGAAAATGGGCCATGATAAAACCTTTTAAGATGAAGTGGTGGTAGATCATTGAAGTGAATGACTTCAATGGTCAAGGTTTACTACGTAGTAAGTACAACCATTTTAACATTTACATTGTGGCTATTTTATCAGTGATTTATTATTGAATGCCCAGTAGAGATCTGTTGTGCTCCATCACTCTCCATCTTACTGTATAAGTCCACCTTTACCACATATTTGACTTGCTTTGTTCATTTTCTCCACCTGTTGGGGACATTTATAACCATGCCAAAAACACTAGAGTATACAGTGCCTTGGAAACAGTATTCATACCCCTTGAAATTTTCCACATTTTGTCATGTGACAATCCAAAACATAAATGTATTTTATTGGGATTTTCTATGATAGACCATAATTGTGAAGTGGAGGGAAAGTGATATATGGTTTTCAAATTTTTTTACAAATAAATAACTGAAAAGTGTGGCATTCATTTGTGTCAGCCCCCTTTACTCTGATACCCCTAACTAAAATCTAGTAGAACCAATTGCCTTCAGAAGTCACCTAATTAGTAAATAGAGTCCGTCTGTGTGTAATTTAACCTCAGTATAAATACAGCTGTTCTGTGAAGCCCTCAGAGGTTTGTTAGAGAACATTAGTGAACAAACAGCATCATGAAGGCCAAGGAACACACCAGACAAGTCAGGGATAAAGTTGTGGAGAAGTTTAATGCAGGGTTAGGTTATACAAAAAAAATATCACAAGCTTTAAACATCTCACGGAGCACTGTTCAATCCATCATCCAAAACTGGAAAGAGTATGGGACAACTGCAAACCTAGAACATGGCTATCCACCTAGACTGACAGGCCGAGCAAGGAGAGCATTAATCGAGAAGCAGCCAAGAGGTATTCATACTCCTTAAAATTTTCCACATTTTGTCATGTTACAACCAAAAACGTAAATGTATTTTATTGGGATTTTATGTGATAGACCAACACAAAGTGGCACATAATTGTGAAGTGGAAGAAAATTGATAAAATGGTTTTCAAACCAGGAGGTTCACCTTCCAGCAGGACAAGGACATAAAATCATATAAAATACATTTTACGTTTTTGGTTGTAACATGACAAAATGTGGAAATAAATATATATATATATATATATATATATATATATATACATATGCAGTTGTGTTCAAAATAATAGCAGTCAGACATCACTAACCTGATCAATCACTGTTTTTGGTAGAAATTATATTTCTACATGGCAAATAATTTACTAGCAGGTGTAGTAGAGTAATAGAAATCCAACAGACCCAACAGTCATGACATGCAGGCTGCGGATTCTGTGTAATTGAATCACTAATTGAAAGGGGCATGTTCAAAATAATAGCAGTGTGGAGTTCTATTAGTGAGGTCATTCATTCTTTGAAAAACAGGTGGCAATTATTGCCCTTATTTAAGGAAGGAAGGCAGCAAATGTTGTACATGCTGGTTACAGTGCATTTCTCTCTGAAATTCTGAGGAAAATGGGTTGTTCCAGACATTGTTCAGAAGAACAGTGTACCTTAAAAAGTTGATTGGAGAGGGGAAAACATATAAAGAAGTGCAGAAAATGATAGGCTGCTCAGCTAAAATGATCGCAAATGCTTTAAAATGGCAACCAAAACCTGAAAGACGTGGAAGAAAGCGAAAAACTACCATTCGAATGGATAGAATAGCCAAAATGGCAAGGACTCAGCCAACAATCAGCTCCAGGAAGATCAAAGAAGGTGTAAAGTTACCTGTGAGTACTGTTACAATTAGAAGACGCCTATGTGAAGCCAAGCTATCTGCAAGAAGCCCCCGCAAAGTCCCACTGTTGAAAAAAAAGACGTGCTGAAGAGGTGACAATTTGCCAAAGAGCACATTGACTGGCCTAAAGAGAAATGGCGCAACATTTTGTGGACTGATGAAAGTAAGATTGTTCTTTTTGGGTCTAGTGGCCGGAGACAGTTTGTCAGATTACCCCCAAACACTGAATTCAAGCCACAGTACACTGTGAAGACAGTGAAGCATGGTTGCGCAAGCATCATGATATGGGGATGTTTCTCATACTACGGTGTTGGACCTATTTATCGCATACCAGGGATCATGGATCAGTTTGAATACATCAGAATACTTCAAGAGGTCATGCTGCCTTATGCTGAAGAGGAAATGCTCTTGAAATGGGTGTTCCAACAAGACAACGACCCCAAACACACCAGTAAACGTGCAACATCTTGGTTCCAGACCAACAAGTTTGACGTTATGGAGTGGCCAGCCCAATCCCCGGATCTTAATCCAATAGAAAACTTGTGGGGTGACATCAAAAATGCAGTTTCTGAGGCAAAACCAAGAAATGGAGAAGAACTGTGGAATGTAGTCCAATCATCCTGGGCTGGAATACCTGTTCACAGGTGCCAGAAGTTGGGTGACTCCATGCAACACAGATGTACAGCAGTTCTCAGAAACAGTGCTTATACAACTAAATATTCATTAAGTGATTCAAAGAAAAGCAAAATCTTCAAACATTTTTCAGTTTATATAGTGAATGTTTGAGTTTATAAAGAAGAATACAAACACTGCTATTTTTTTGAGCAGTCTAATATTCACTTTTCTTCATTTTTTTTAGAGGAACAACACAAATTTGATATATTTTTTCTTCATGTTTTGATTTGGAATAGAATGTGTAGTGTTCCCAATGCAATTGTGTGTATGGAAATAAAAGCTATTAGAAGGATTTTGAGCTTTATTCACTTTTTTCACCACACTGCTATTATTTTGAACACAACTGTATATATAAATTTACCCTCTGTTTGTAACTATGTGCCAATATCTGTGCTGTTTGCTGGATACATTGTCTCAATTTATTGCTGGGAGATACTTTCTTCCTCTTTTACTGAAGCTGAACATTACCTTGAATGACCCAATATAACAAAATTAAGCTTTCCTCCCCAGCTGCACATTGACATATTAAATGTTAATCTAACAAAAATGTAAGGTCTAATTAAAACTGGAAAATGGTTTCTACAAACTTTTATTTTCATAATGACAGTTAAGCCAATAATTGCTTGCTAGTTAACCCTTTCTTCCTTTCTTTCAGACCAGAACCCTACAGTCAGCACATTACTGTTCCCATTGCCAATCCAGAGGTCAAGTTCAGAGCGTAGCATCTTGCATTCCCCACAGGCCAACTTGGGGCAACACCCCTTCACAGACGATCTTCATCCCAGCTCCTACTCTGAACAGATCTTCCATTTGGTACCCCCCTCCAGAAGAACTGGCCCGGAACTTTTTGCTGAGTGAGTCCAGCAGGGCCCAAACAAGCCGTCAGAGGGAATCTGACTACGAAATGGATTCTTCCTCAAGGGGCCACATACGGGCAATAGACAATCCTTACACACCTCTATGACAATGCGGTAGTGTGCTGTACATGCTGAACTGACACGTTTACTTTTCTACAGTCACAAAAGCCTTAACACATGCAAACAAGCCAAGAGTTTAACCTGTTTCTGTTTTATTATTATAGTGCAGGGATGAGTAAAAGTGTACATCCCCTCTGGGTGTTATTGTATTAGGCCTGTTAAAGGGCCCTTCTTTCTCCTGCACACTAGGCCTAGGATGGCCCTGGAGGCAGTGAAGGGTTACGTTGTGAGCAATTTATGAGCTTGTTTTCCTGTTTACTGTTTACAAAAGGTAATTACTTATAGGCGTTCTACTCCAATGCTATGAACTGGATGGAGTGGTGACATTCTTCCATGTTACATGTATTTGATAAAGACCAGGACTGTTCAACTAGTGGCCTGTTCCTGGGGCTGCGCCATCATCAGTATGTCAGTGTTATTACTGTTTGAAGCACAACAGATAGCTGCTGCATCGCTGTCCTTAGTACGTCTATCTATAGCCTGCTTAGTATTATCAGGCGCGCTGACTGATACAAAACTGCATAGCACTTCCTTATTATAATAGATTTATTTTTTGTCAGGGCATAAAAGTGCAGCCAGGATGTTGTTTAAGCAGCCACTGAAAAAAGAGAGATATCATATTTTTAGTATACTCTTTGAAACAAAAATCTGTGACTAATTGGATATTTAAATGTGCCTTAGGCTGGCTACTCTGGGGTTAGTGCATTGAATTAGTTGCATACAATGGCTGCATGGGACAATAATTACAGAGGATATGTGTCAGCAGGACCCATGCAGCAGCCAAGCAATCACAGGGCACTAACACCACTGTAGCTGGGCCCTGACATTAACTGTTTATTTGCACAACCTGGTCTCAAGGATTTACTTATCTGTAACTTGTAAGCCTCCATGACTGCAGGTAAGGTAGAGATTACTGCTCAGCAACTGAACAGAACAACCATATCATTTACTTTGCTACTCAAAAGACACCAAGCCCCTATGAACGTTGGTCAATGGGGAAAGTCTCTGTCTATAGATCAATGTTGTAGCCACTTGTCAGTGCAAAGAGCCTGCATGTACTTCTTCCAGCTGTAAGGCACACACAGAAAAGCCCAGAGCATCAGTACATTCAATGTAAAAGGGGGAATTACACACTGGAACGTTCTGGCCTACACCAATGAAGAGTTCTTATTCTGTGTAATTCTTATGGGCAGTACCCTGTGGCAACCAGTAAACATTCACTGTGCTAAAGCCAGATCAATGTAGGATGGATTATCTGTTTGCTATGGGTTATTGCACTAAAGTAGTAGCATTTAGGAATAAGAGATCTTAATCGTTTGCAACCTGCAACTACTATAGAAATAAGTTGTGTCTACAGCATTGAGGTGCACTGAGCGTTAAGATGCATCCCTGAAATCAAACAATCTTACTGGTGCCTGAAGGATTACTTGATCATGGACTCTTGAACCACTGGTTGCATTGTCATTCAGGAATTTCTCATGAGCTTCCAACATGGACAGTAACATCACGAGCTGCATGTTAAGTTAGGCCTTCTACTCACTGCTAGTGATGGATAATGGTTCCTCCACTAGATCGAACCTGTGTTCACTATATGCTACCTGCACCCCAGAGAGTCACTTGCTGACACATTTGGCACTACTCAATGCCATTTTATAAGTGTGCTGTGATTGGCACCTGAGTCATTACAGTATGTCCATAATGCTGACATAATGCAGTGAACGCACAAAGTCTTGACATAAAGAGATCTAATCCACCACTACCAGGTGTTCGAGGCCTATGGCTGCTGAGGTCAGCACTTGGAGATGCAGCATTTTCAACTATAACAATGTCACAAGTGCCACAAGCAGGCTAACCATGGGGTAGAACGGGTATTAGGAGAGTCGCTCCAACTTTTAGTATCTGACATAAGCACCATGTCTCTCTGCATTGTTTTAAATGCAGCAAGTCTGTTTCATAGTACATTTCTTACACAAAACTTTTTTTATTTCTATCCATCTGACAGATGTACAGAAAAGAATGTATGCTGAGAATATAGAAAATGATGTAGAGTTTGCATATTGTAAAGAACACCTCAGATAATGAATGTCGTTTATTATACATGCAACATGGAAAATTGTGTGTATAAAATTCAAATACCGCACTGCCTGAAACCTCCAGTATCTAACTTCTTAGCAACAGTATATGAGTATGTATGGATCACAGATACACAGTGCTAAGCCAGTCCTTGGTCAAACCTGTCCTATTCACAATAATTAGAAACTGCTTTGTGGCAAATGCCTACACTATTATAAGTTGCATCTATGTACCCCTATGAAGTAGAGAATACATTTGTTTTAGTCTAGGTGGAACACACCTATGTGTAAATGGACATGCAGTACGTTGTTGGTTGTGCTTAGCCATGTGTATGTCATGTGTTCTGATTTGAAATGAGAGAAAACCAGCACCAGAGTAAAAGCAGGGGTAGGTGGAAACCGTGGCCACCTTGGGTGATTCAGCAGGAGGGGGGGGGGGCACAAAAAGAGCAGAACTTGCAACCTATGTTGCTGAAGTAAATCAAAATGGATAAGGGGGAGGAGTGGACTTTGGCCTTTTTGCCACGGCTGCAAGAGAAGACCTTGTCCTAGCACTGACTTTTTCACAAAGTGGAAATAGATATTTTGTAAGTGGCAGTTAGGGATAGGTGTTGGTAAGATTCGGTAGATTCTGGCCAGCTGTTGTAAATGCTGCCTGAACATGCTGTCAGCGACAGCTATCAGATTTGTTCTGTGTATAAATCAATGGCCAATGCCACCGCTGGTTGTATGTAACCGCTCATCTGAGCTCATCTAACCAACCCTGGACACAGCCAGCGTGCATACAGAGTCCACGTTTCTGCTGAAGATATGGCCACATACAAACTGCCCACAGCTTACTGGCTAGTTGGTATGTGACCATAGCACAGAGTGTTGTTGCATCCAGAGGTGGTTTTTAGCTGCCTCTGAATGTAGGAAACTATCTTCATCTCATCACCTGTGAATATAGCCCAACAATCTCCTGGACCAACCCCCTGGACAGTTCCAGTCATATCACCAAATTGGCTAATTGTATGGGTGTCATTTCAGCCCACTAAATTGTGTGTAACCTTGTGTGGGTGACTAGTTCTTCCTAATTTCAATCCAGTCTTTTGTCCTACATGAGCACAAACAGTTCATATTTCTGCACTTCCACACAGGAGCTCAGTTGTTTTTATTTTTCAGAACTAAATATGCTAGGGGACTGTGCATTTAGGCATTTGTTTACATCAGAACTGTGTTTTCTGTCCATACAAGTCAAATGTAGCTTAATGCAGCTCAGAAGTGATTAAATCTCATATCCAAGCCTGTATTGGAATATTTATACAAGCTTTAAATGTATTTGATTTTTGATTCCGTGATAATTGAAATGTCCATACACAAAGCTGTTTTAGGGTCATTTGTAACCCTTAATGGATTGTGATGCTGTAAAGGAGCTTACTCACATTGTAGCCCTGGGTGGTTTTAAGAAGCCAGAGGACCCTTTGTTATATAGAGGACATTCTCTTTTATCACCTTCCCCCAAATATTCTTGGTTTTAAAGCACATGCAGTATAAAAGTGAAGTTTAAAGCAGAACTCCAGGAATACAGACACTTTTTAGAAAGTGCTTGCTTACATTGGGTCAAGTCTAACAAGGTATATGCCATGTCATGAATGCATCCCTGGTGTTTCCAATCGCTATACTCCTGGCAGTCTAACAGGACCAATGCTGCTTTTTCATACAGCATCAACTCTGCCTTCCCCTCCCCTCTGCTGTCCATTCGCATAATACTTTGAATTTTGTGAATGGGTTCACAGAATAAAAAGTGCTTCGTGATTGGACACTAAGAGAGGAGGGGCGGGCAGACGGGTTGCATACAGATGTGCAGATTCTGCATCTGAGACCTGAAGAGCCAGCATCTGAAGTCTAGTGATAGCTCTACTCCTAGAATTCAGTAAAAGTGTAACCTGTAGATAACAGAGATACTTCCACAGGGAGGCATACATTTGAACTTAAAGCATAAATAAAGGCAATACTTTTATTTTTGTTTTGGATCGAGTAGACACCTGTCAGGTTTTCATTGTTCTCAGTGTCACTATTAGGGAGAATCACCCTTTTTGTCCTTTTTACTGTTATCACTGAAAGCAAATGAAAATTCCAAATTTTGGGAAGTCCCTAGAACAGTAAAAGAGGAGAATCTTCCAACAGGGACAATAGTTCGGACCAAGGATTCCCTCACTTTAGAGTGATTTCCTCTTCCTCTTTTTGGCTATGGGACAAGAGATGATGGGAAATCTCTCCAAAGGGACACAAATGGCAAAAATAAACAGACAAGGATTATAGCTCTCCCTCCCTTACTCTATCCATAATGGAAAAAAAAGTTTTACTTTAGTTCTGCTCTAACCCGATATAAGCCAGCACTTTTTAAAAATATGGTCTATATCAATGCAGACCTTCCAGAGCGTTGAACATATCTCCATTCCAAATGGCAGAATGCAAAATACACCTGCAAGTTGGAGTATGTAAGCTTGAGCCAGGTAGCAAAAACCTGTAGGCTGGAGAAATCTGTAGGAAAACATTTCTCATCTCATTCTGAAAATGCTAGTTGCCAGGCTGTCTTTTGCTTCAGTACTTGAGACAAGAAACCCACATGCAGCCACTTGGGTGAAGTCAGAACCCCTAATCTCCAGGCCCTGATACAGAAAGAATTGATATTATTGAATCAGCCAGGTAACCAATAGTTTCAGAAGAGTTCAGCATTCAGAACCAATATATTTATCACAGTAGAGGTTTCCTTTAAAGCTACCCTGCCTGTAAAGGGATCTTTAAGGCTGTTGGGAAACACTGACCTAAATTCTGGTTTAGAAACTGTCAGAGAAACATCTTCTACACAATACTGAACATTTAGTACTGTGTTACCTTTTAAGTGAGCCTCTGTTAGATTGTACTCATCT